GGGGCGGGGCGGAGCGGCCGCTGGAGACGAGCGAACGTGCCGCGCTCGGCTAGCTGCGCCTAGGGCGCGGTGGGGAGCTCCGGGCTCGACCTTTCCGGCCTGCTGCGGAAAGCGGCGCGGTGATTGGCTGGAGGGGGAGGATCACCGAGAGGGGCGGCCAGAGCGGCCGGAGCGGAAGCGCGGGGCGGGGAGGCCGGAAGCGCGGCGGGAGGAGGCGGGGGCAGCGGGGCGCCGGAGCCGCGGCCCGGGGCGGGGGTGCCGGAGGTGTCGCGGGCCCCGGTACGGGTGCGGGTTCCCCCGGTGTGGGGCTGCGGGCGAGCGGCCGGGCCTCGCCGGGCCGGGCCTCGCCTCACCCCCGTTTGGTTCCAGGCGCAGCGGCAGAATGACACGATGGACGCGGGCGGCGGCCCCCTCCTCCCCGACAGCGTCCTCTACGAGATCTTCCTCTACCTGGACCACGTAGACGTGCTCTCGGTGGGGCTGGTGTGCCAGCAGTGGCACGCCGTGGCCCGCGACGAGTTCCTCTGGAAGGAGCTCTTCTATCGCTACTACCGCGTCTCCCGGGAGGTGCCCCGGCACCCAGGTGCGCTGGCGCGGGGGGAAGGGGCTGGCGGGGCCGGCCGAGCGGGCAGGGCGGTGGTGCCGGGCTGGGGAGGGGCTGCTCGGCTCTCTGTCCCCCGGTGTGATGGGTGGCGGAGCCATTAAACCACACATGTTCGCGGGCCGCGGGCGAGGGGGGTGGTGTGCACGCCACTGGCTCTGGCACTGCCTGACCCTCCAGAAAGGGGCATCGGATAACTCGAAGCATTTCCAACTTTAATTCCCTTACAGAAAGGCGGTCTCTGCGCTCTCTCTAGGTGGGTACTCTCTGGTAACCACTGCACAGCTTGTCTGGGCGCTGCTGCTCTGGGGGAGATGCTGAGGAGACGCAGTGAGTCACTGCGCTGCCACCTCGCAGCCCAGTTGGATTCCATGATAATCACTGCTGGCTTTTCCTGATCGGGACCTCGCAGCCAGCCTCTGCTTCAGGCTCTGTCCCTTTTTCATCCAGACTAGGAAGAGCTGCAAGTGCACATTAGTGGATCAGAGCATTTCCATAAGATGTAGGCAGCATCCCTGTGGAGGGAGGCCGCGTATGCCTGCTGTCTGCCAAGGGAGGTGGGCGTGCATTTAATAGTACAGTGGGCAAGAGCTAAGGCAGCATCTGACCCACTTTGCAAGGGCAGGTCTGACTTGATCTTGGCCTCGGCAGGCAGTAGGAAAATGACCCATTAACAGTCGGCATCAACTGATCCTGGCAGGGCCTTCCCCGGGAAGAGCTGTTGGCAGTCTTGGGGGCAGCAGTTGTCTGTTCCCTGCTGAGTGTGGTGCTGGAAGCACTTTAGTGCGGTCTGGAAGGGTAACCCAGTGCTATCACACCAGTTGAGCCAGGCCTGGGAACCTGCTGACAGGAGCTGCCAAGGTGGGTCTCTCTTGGAGGCTGAAAAGCCCGTTCACAGCCTTCTGGAGAGGTCTGGGAGGGCCGTGCTCCATCCTCCGCCCCAGGGACGTACATGGGGCTCACAGCAGTGGCCATGGCAGAGGGAATTGGCTTCTTGCTCTCAAGTTGCAGTTGTCACAGAAGGACAGGAAGAAATGCCAAGGATGAAACAGTGGGGAGTCTGTCCCCCTGCACCGGGTGCACCCACCAGTGCAGAAGGGCCCTAAGAAGAGATGAGATGTGGATGGGATGACTCAAGCTGTGTGACTTCACTGCGCAGACCCTGGATTTCTGTGGGGTTGACAACATTATCTTCATGTTTTATCTGAGACTCTTTGACCAGGCTCATTCACTGCCAGCCTCCTGGAGTTAGTTAGCAAGTTGCTTGCCCTGTTCTTTAGCACTAATTGGGATTGGTGCAATTCGGTGACTTGGGCACCTCCCAGGCTGCACTTCTGGAGCTGTAAAAGCGTTCCACGAGGCAGTGGGCCCAGGGGGTTCCCGGCAGGTCCAGGAGGGGGCTGAAGCAGGAGTTGGGAGAAATTCCCAGCCAACCTGCCTGCCCTGGGCAGCTCTGTTTGGAGAGTGGCATCCAGTGGGTCTTGTAAGGGTTGCTTGGCCAGATGGGATCTATCCAGCCTGCTTCCCAGCCAGATGGCCCATCCCCTTCAGAGAGGGATGAAGCCCTTTGCCTCATGAGCAGTGGTGGGATGTCCTGGCAGCAAGCTCCTCCCTGCCTGCAGAAGCAGGTGCCTCCTGGGCTGCAGCAGGTTCCTAAAAACCCTTCAGTCCTGTTCCGTGTAACCAGGGAAATTGGCCCTTATCCATATACGTGTCTAATCCTCTTTGCTTCCTCGGGATTTGCTGCTGCAAGAAGTCTGTAGGCTGCCTTAGTGGGCACTTTGTTAATAAAGAGACAAATAAAGAAGATTTTTTTGGCTATCAGTGTGACTTCTGCAAGGGTCCTCCAGGCTCTTCTGCTGTGGGGCTCCTCTTCTGTCTCGGCACGCTGCGTCCAGCTCCTGTTCTTCTCTCGTGTTTTCTTTAGTCTCTTATCTCATAGAGACATTTCTTCCTGGTCTCGTACCCTTTCTGGAACCTTCTTAATTCTGTGTTAGGCAAGATAAAGACAATCAGAGCGGAGCCCAGTACCCTGAGGAGCAGCTTCCCTCTCATCACATGATAGATTTGTTTGTGTTGTGCCGCAGCATGTCTGCAGTTCCGATGGCTGTTTTGTCCTAAGCCAGGCTTTTGTTAGGTAGCCGACAGCCGTGCTCTGGATCTTTCTTGCAGTGGCTGTACTGGTTTAGAAAGTAGTGGCATGGTGTGGAGTTGTGTGTTCACTGGAAGAAAATATTTTCTTTCGTGTGTGGGAGTGGGGAAGCCGCAGGGACCTTGGCCCCAGCAGAGCCCCAGGCATTGCCAGCAGCGGTCAAGACTGCGCTTCATTAAAGACTGATTCCGTGGCTGCCGTGTTCAGCTCGTTCCTTCCCTCCACTTACATTCCTGTCCTGTGTCCCTGCTCGTGTGTTACAGCTGCTGTCTCCTGGTATGACGAGTTCCAGAGGCTCTACGACACCATCCCGTGTGTGGAAGTGCAGGCCCTGAAGGAGCACAATGACCAGGTTTTGCACCTCAGCTTCTCCCACTCTGGCTGTTTGTTTGCGTCGTGCTCCAAAGACTGTACCGTCAAGGTAAAGTGGCAGCGTCCCCTGCACAACCCCTCCGGATTTGATTTAATGTGGGGTTTAGCCACCAGAGCAGCCTTCAGGGAGTCTGTGGAGAGGAGAGGTTTGACCAGGTGTCTCTGGACTTAGGCCGGTTCCCGCGGATGCTGAGTTGTTCTCAAAACCACAGAACTAATGACTCTTGCAAATGTAGCCTTGAGGGCTATGGCTTCCAGCTCCAGTCTGCATGAAGGTGCCAAGGTGCCAGCCTGGCTCTGGCTGCTTTCTGGGTGCAAATCAGTCCCCTGTTGTGCCCTGGGTCTAACAAAGAGTGCAGAGATAATGATCCACTGCAAAAGTTGTCTCACGTGAGTGATTGTCTTGGGATAAATCTCTGAACACACTGAAAAATCCAGCTGTGACAGTACCACTCACTGCCACAACACCACCTCCACCAGCTGATGGAGCAGCAGTCTTGCATTTAGCTGCTCTCAAAGCTGTTGGCCGTTTTCTATCAGGGCAATTGACAGGAAAATTGGGACTGGGGTGTAGTTAAATAGGGTGTTTGATACTACTTTTTTCTCTTGTCCTGGTGCGTGCTGGCAGAACAGATAAAGTGGAGCCCCTCTCAGGCTTCTCAACAGCTTCCTGACTGTTTGTCCACCTGTCTCTAGATCTGGAGCAATGAGTTGGACATCTCCCTGCAGCACAGCTCCAACATGAGACCATACAACTGGAGCTACACGCAGTTCTCCCAGTTCAACTCCGATGACTCCCTCCTTTTGGTGTCAGGTGTCTTTGTGGGACCTCACAACTCCTCCTCAGGAGAGATTGCCGTAATTAGCATGGGTAACTACCACCCTCGCCTTCACTGGGGCTTCCTGGGAGATGTGAAATGGTGGCTGCTGGGTTCCCTGCCTCTTTGGGCATGCAGTGGCCTTGTCCTCTGCTTGTCCTGCTTTCAGTCATCTGTGCAAGGGGTCCCAAATGCAGCTTCATAGGGTAAACCTTCTGGATAGCCTTATCTCTGCTCAGGTCAGCATGGCATCACCTAAAAGCAGCGTGGCATATATTTATTCTCACTTAACTTCTGTTCTAAGTGACAATCTGGGCAAGTCTGCGTTACCTGCTGTCTTGAAGTCACTGTTTCTGACTCAAGTGGTGCTAGTCCCACCCTGAGGTCTCAGGTGGCTTTCTGAGGTGTATTCATTTGTGTCTGTGTCACCTCTTCTGCTGCAGTTCATGAAATTTGCTAATCTGAACTGTGTTATCTCTTGGTGTCTCTGTGCTGCAGTCCCACTCCACCAAAAATCAAGGAGTGCTGCTAAATGCACAGCTGTCTTGCTCAGAAAGAGCAAGACAGCTCAGACCCT